TATTGAAAGATTTCCGTAGAAAAATAATTTGTTTGTCATCATTATTTTTCCTGCATTTCTATGTTGAACTTGTAAAAGATCTCCGAATTTGGTCACATTTTGAGCAATTGAATCGTTTTTGTTTTATAAAAATACGTATCAACTATTTCACAATCACTGATCAATTTATGTTGTTGTTATTGTTGTCGTCGTCGTCGTCATCGTTTCTTCATTTAATGATTTTCAATTGGAAGCCTCAGTGCAAAAGTGGAGCTAGTTGTGCTTACACAAAATAAAGAAATTTTCATCAAGTTTGATTTTTTGCGTATGCCAAGACGTACGTATACTGTGTAAAAAGTTTAATGTATAATTGTTCAAAATATTTCAATTGATTCTTATCAATGTTGATATCTCTTGCGAACTGTGATTGCTCATGTTTTTTTTGCCTTGTTATTTTCTTTATCTTGTTCCACATTCGCACCGAGACCACCAATCCCAATAGGAAGCTAGTAACGAAAATATCAAGTTATCTCTAATGATACAAATAATAATAGTAAAATCCAAGGCATAAATAAAAAAAAAATATTAAATTAGAAAAATTGCTCTGAATGCGATACGCAAAACTCAAAGAACTTTGATATTCACGTTTTAGCATATCAAAACTGAGTGGTTTTTGGTGTAATTTATAACGTTGAATCACTTGCGATGAAATTATTGTTGTTTTTTTCTTCTGTTGTTGTTGAATCGTGATAACACATCGAAAGCGGGAGTTTTTAGGCAGTTTCATTATTTTCCTCAGACGGTGCTCGGAGACCGATCAGTCTTTTAGCTCCACGGTTCTTCGGACCTTGTGGCTTTGCAAATTGTGGTCGATGCAACAACGTTTTTGGATGCAATTCATCTTGGAAATACTCTTTGGTCAGCTCAGATCCGGAATCGATTTCCAGCTAAACGAAAATGAAAAATGTTTATTCTTGGTTAGTATGCGGGATAATGAAATGAATCCTTGATCAACACTTTGTCATCACTGTTAATAATGTTTCGTTTGCCATAATCGATCAAAAAATATGAATAAATGGTCACATTATATCAAAATACCTTCTTTTCAATGTGTAAGCCAAGCTCTTGGATTTTTTCGACGAAAAGCGCTTTACATGATGAGTACATCATACGCTCTTTGATTGGACACTTGTAGCCTGGCATCGAGTAAATGAAAATGTAACTTTCCAAAAAGTCTCCCTCATGAGTATGCTTGAATAAATAGACGTGATAGCGTGCTTCGTCTTCGGGAACCTCTTTGGGCAACTTTTCAATCTCCACATTGCTGGCTTTGACTAGATGGATCTTCTCCTCTTTAAGATCAATTTTAAACTGTAGATAGTTATAGGTTCCGCTCACGGTGTCCTTGATGCTGGCAATTGCTGACTCAGTCAATGCACATGAAATGCCACCCAACGTTTTCTGGCGTGTTTCAGTGCTAATATCTGTTTGTATCTCGTTTCGGCGCATTTCGAGCATTTCTTCTTCGCGTTGTGTCAGTGGTGCTGGGGCGCTCATTGCTTTTTTGTGTTTCTTAAAGCTGAACAGTGTGGTTTCACGCTGTGATGTTGCATGGTACTCCTCTTTGATATGCGGAGATCCGAATTCTTTCTTCATCGTTGCCTTGGTCGATGCGTACAACATTTTGTGGCGAATTGTTGCCGTGTCTGGCGTATAGCTCATCAAAAGCCATTCATATCCGATGGACGATTTGCTGTCCAAACGGAAGAAAATGTAGCATGGTGTATTCTCTTCAATCAGCGGCTCCACCAAGTTTTTGTAATCTTTTTCCCAGTCTTCATTCACTTCAACCTCAGCAGCCAAAGTCAATTGCTCTTTTGGCGACAAAAAAATAATAATAGAAAAACGAAACCATATATAATTTAATATGCCCGACTCTAGCGCGTATCTCTTCGCTTCAATTACCTTTTTCAATAGAAGCCTTAATAACTCGAGTATTGCCTTCTTTCGACTTACTAAATGCTTTCAATAGTTCATCGTTGGCTGTAAAAAAAAAAGAAACAAAACAAAACAACGTTACACAATCCACTATATTGTGAAATAAATATCCAAAACTGGATTTTTTTTCGTTGGCACCCCACTTTTATTTAAATTTAATATTTTTTCATTGCAATTATAATTGGGTATGTAAATATTTCCGGTAAAAACATTGGACAAACGTATGGATAGCTGCAATTCATTTCAAGCAAGTTAGTTCGAAAAACAGCCCGTGAAGCGCAGATGCAGTTCAGGTTTCGGAGTTTCGTTTGACATTTGAGGTTATGTTCATATTACGTTTTCATGACACATACGTACGAATGCACAGGCACACCGTGAACTACGTACTCACGTCGATAAAAGTCTAAATAATTGAGAAGGCGCCAAAGTAGCTGGTGTGTATGCGTATACAGCAACACTGCCAACTGTGATTGTTGATGTGTGAGTGGAAATTGCACGCGAAATGAACGAAGTGTCATGTGTGTATCGCATGTGTTAGAGCCAAATGAAATCTCACAAGTAGTGACAAGTTACCAAATAGCTAGCCAAATAGTGTGCGGAAATAAAAGCGAAATAACACGAGAGAAACGTTCGAAACAAACAAAAAAAACAGCAGCTCCAAAAAGAGAAACAACGAAAATTTCACCGCAGTGATGCATTTGTACTGAGTTGTCGCATTAAACTCGAAATCGATTTCAACTTTGCTTTGGAATCGCAGGCATTTGATAACGGCCGAGGCAACGACGACCGTATACCCATTTGGCGAAACCATTTAAGTAAGTTGTTTGACATTTTTGTAGCATTTGAAAATGAAAACTGAACAACTTTGAGTGCTTAACAGTTGCGGAGATAGTGAGACAGTTTTTTTTTCTGTTTTGTTTGCAAATGATTCCCGAAAAGTTATCGCTTTGAGGACAGGTCATTTGAGAAATTGTTGCAGACCGACAATTTTTAGCATGATTAATTGATTTTTCAGTAAATTCTCCGAACAAACTCAAATCTCAATTAGATAAAACATTTATTTATGAATCACAGGAGTCATGTAAGTGATAAAGATTACAAATGGACAATTGCACGATAAGTGTTATGCCTTAAATGATAAATGCTGAAAAAGATAACAACAACGAAAATCTTGAACAATGTCAATTGTATTTATGTACTATTCCCATAAAATTTGAACACACTTATTCCAAATACATTGCAGCGAGAAGTACGAACAACATTCCGATGAGATCTCTCTATATATATATTCCGACAACGTTGGAATTTACTTGTTAGTCAGTTGATTGTATCGATTGTTGCGACGAAAACATTTCTTCATCATTTTTCTTCTTTTTGAATTTAGTTTTGATTTTTTTCAGTGTAATTTTACCGCAAATTGGCGAATCAGTCGGTCCCAAACTCGGTTTATTATTCGTGACACAATCGATTTTTGCAAAATCCGATAATTTCTTCAACTTTCTCACCGGTTTCAAGCACGCTGCCGTCGCAACGATACCACCAGTTTTGAATTTATTGTGCAATTTATTTGGAGTGTTTTTCGATTTGGATTGAATAATTTCGGTGTTGGAGCGAACAATTGCTTTCGATTTAACATTGGTGCCGTGTGTAAAAGTG